AGTGGGGAAATGAGGAAAGAAAGCCCTCTTTCCTGTCTCTTGTCTCAAAGAAGGAGGAAGTAAAAGTTGAGACATAGCTGGTATGAGCTCAGTGGCCTGAAGGTTAAACCACCTCCCTACCCTCAAGATCTAAGGTGATTAAATTATTCCCTCTATTGTTCCCATTCAGTCTTGTTCAACCCCCCACGCTTACTTCATCAATCAGGACCCCCTCACATGTACTTTCTAAACTGTAAACCCAAGACCCTTTCACATGGAATGTCTGGAGTTGTAAGCCTATATGAAGGCAGAGGTTTCCTTTGTGAGACAAGCTTGGCTGTTAGGCAACTATGCTACCTTGCTCCCGGCCAAATAAATCACCCCTTCTCCAAAAATATAAAAAATAAAAAATAAAAAAATAAATATTTGCCTCATGAAAACAAAAGACACTCTTATCCCCTAGGAAATTCCAAAGGATTAGAAGCTATGTGTCAGGAAACTGGAGTAAAAGACCAAATATTAGAGCAAAAGATTCTCCTAGCACCCCTGTAGCTCAAGAAATTACAAGGATTTTAGAAGTTCTGTACCAGGAACTGGGAATGAAGACCAAAATACACATATTTCTTATAAATTGAAATATTAAAATTTTTATATTTAAAGATGTATAAATATATATATGCATATTTACATAAACACTCAAAGTCATAATGCAATACAACAATGTAAAGGCTTGGTGTCTTCAGGTGTCGTTTAGTAAAGTATTTCTGAGTTGTGGTTCTCAAGGTGGGTAGTTGATGAAATACATAATTTCTGTAAAGATAAGGGACAAAAGTGTGAGTATAGTTTACTTTTTAAAAATAAAACAATTTAAGCTGAAGCCATGATAGTCTAATTCTTTCTTATATTTAATATTCCTGCCTGCTTTAAGGAAAGTTCTAGAAATGATTGAAGAGGGGTGTGTTTGTGTGTGTGTGTGTGTGTGTGTGCATGTCTGTGTGTGAAAATATGTATTTTTATGTTTATTTGTGTGTTTCTTAGTTAGATAAACCATTGAACTGTCAGTCAGTCATTGAGAGAGATGCTGCTTGCCTTACACACTCACTCAGCTGGGCACCTGAGCTGAACAGTGATAGTGGCATCCAGTTTAACAAAGAAAACAAAATGAATTAGCTTAATACTGATCCCATGATATAGATTAAGGCTCAACAAACTTTACTGAACATTTCTCTTACATTTATGTTTTATTGATGCCAATCAGAGTGGACACGACCAGGCAGTCTTCTAATTGGGATGGTGGTTTCTTTTTCAAGAGTTTAATAAATACAATTTGTTTATAATACTCAATACTGTCTCTTTTTCTTGATTTCTGAACCAGTTCATGTGTCCAAACATGTCAACCAGTAAACAGCATGAGTAATAATGCTGGTTTGTACAGAATGCTGACATAAACTAAAAGACACCAGGAAAAATCTGCTGAGAAATGACTTTTTCTTCACTTCAACTACCAACCCTCTAGAACAATAACAGTTGAAATAGTAAATGTGATTAAGTATAATATTACCTCTTCCTCATGCTTTCCTCCTACAAACCAGCAACTTTTATCCCTGGTTGGCATATGAATTTGGTTGACTTTTAATTTTATGTACAGTAAGTCCTCATTTAACATAGTGGAAACTTTAATAAAGCAAAATAATGTACAGCAGGTCCTTGAAATAACATTGTTTTGTTTGATGATGTTTTGTTATAATGCTGATAAGGGGGGGAAATGGTTTCGTTATACATATTTCACTTGAAGTTGCTGTTTCTGAGAACCTATTGACCACATTAAGTGAGGGCTTACTATACTCTCCTAAGAATTTTCTTTTCATTTTTATCATTTGGCCCTTGGCTAAATAAATAGTGGTCAAAGCAAAAAGATGGATTTTTGTGTGATGGTATGATATCTCCCCCTAGAAAGAACGTTCTGGCTTTCAGCATGTTTATTTTGCATTTAGGAAAGCATGAGACTCATTGCATTTAAAAATTTTGTCCACTGAGCAGCCAGAGACTACTGCCTATTGAGTTTCGCTGCATGTTTTTAAAATTTCATAATATTATTTTGCCAGTGGACTACACAGAGAGATTTTACTACCCTGCTTACTGTGACATTGACAAAAGAGCCAGTTTCTTCTTTTTTGGTCTTGAAAACTCAAGTAAAAGTTTCCTTTTTTAATCTTTGTGTATGACATTTGTATAGACACTGCTTTACTGATGATAGCTTTCATTTTACATCTTTTTCCTAAAGTATCATTTTTTTCAAGTTCTTTGTATATTGCTTTCCAGTGATGATCTTACCAGATCACCCTGTGTTTGGGGGCTGTATATAAAATAAAATACATTATTTGTCATTTATAACTCTTCATTTTTTTTGTATACTATTCAATATATATGTGTGTATGTGTACATATAAAATAACAGTTAACATTTATTGCAAACATACACATAGGTAGTATGAAAGTTAATTTATATGTATCTCATCAGATAATTCAGTAATCCTAGGAGATGGGTTTTATTGTTGACCTTTTTAAAAATTAAGACTATTTTAGAGTAGTTTTAGGTTTATTAAAAATTAAGCAGAAAGTACAGAGTGTTCCCATAAACCTCCTCACCTTCCAACAACCCCAGATATACAGTTTCCCCTATTAGGATCAATTTACTTTGGTGTTGAAGATTTGTTACAGTTGATGAGTGAATTAAAGTCTATAGTTTATATTGCAGTTCACTCTTTGTGTTGTGCATTTTATGAATTTGGACAAGTGCTTAATGCCATGTATCCACCATTATAATATGAGATGGAATAGTTGCATAGCCCTAAAAGTCTCATGCCCTACCAGTCCTCTTTTTTTTTTTTTTTTGTATCAAAGAAATTATAGCTATGAGATGAAACAATTTTCCAAGAGTCACATAGCTAAACAAGTATAGGAGCTGTTCTGCTTTCCTAGAATCTGTGCTTCTACTTCATACATTAGGCTGCCTGATTTGTTACAGTTATTAAATCATTTAGGGAACCCTAATTGGTTTCCTAATTCTTTTTATTTTTAACTTTATGAAAGTGTATGTATAGGAAACATTCTTTCTGTGCTTTCCTTTGAAGTTAAAATGTTACGGGAAACATTGCAGGGAATTTAAAAATTTTAATTATTGGTATTTGACAAGACTTGTGATTTAAAAAGGAGTTACTGAATAGAGTAGCATTACTAAAATGATAGAAGAAATGAGGAAGCCAGTTGTCTGACCATTTGGTTATCACTAGCTGTAGGTGGTAGAGACGGCAGGCTATGTCCTAACTACTAGAATAATGAGTTAATGAAGGATGTAGCAACTGTGAGTTTTTTAAATGAGGGAATGAACAAAAGGAGAGGGAGTATGGAGAAAAGAGTCAAAGCTGCATAACATGTAGTACAAGTTGTACAACCCGCAGCTTGCAGGCAGCATGTGGCCCAGGATGGGTTTGAATGCAGCCCAACACAAATTCATAAACTTTTGTAAAACATTATAAGATTTATGCATGAACCTTAAAAAAAAAAAAACTGATCAGTTATCATTAGTGTTAGTCTATTTTATGTGTGGCCCAATTTAATTATTCTTCTTCCATTGTGGCCCAGGGAAGTCAAAAGATTAGATACCCCTAACATAGCATATTAGGTTAATTATATACCTCTAACTTTAGAAAATTGATCTTCATAACAATAGTTTTAAAAGTATATGCAAAGTGGGCTGGGCGTGTTGGCTTACACCTGTAATCCCAGCACTTTGGGAAGCTGAGGAGGGCGGATTACCTGAGGTCAGGAGTTGGAGACCAGCCTGATGAACATGGAGAAACCTCATCTCTACTAAAAATACAAGAAATTAGCTGGGCGTGGTGGCACATGCCTGTCATCCCAGCTACTCAGGAGGCTAAGGCAGGAGAATTGCTTGGACTGAGTAGGTGGAGGCTGCAGTGAGCTGAGATTGCGCCATTGCATTCCAGCCTAGGTAACAAGAGTGAAAGTCTATCTCAAAAAAAAAAAAAAGAAAAAGAAAAAAAAAAAGTAAGAAAAAAACATTGCTTGAAGTTTATATAGGTAAAGAGTATATAAATTATTTGTCTTTACCATGGTCTGTGGCTTTGGGCACCACCCAGTGCCTTGGTATCCTTCATAGTCACGGTACATCTTCAACCCAACCATGCCAAACAAGATAGAACTGTTCCAGGAAAGTGCTTCTTAGGGGTCTTCTCCTATCTTGTGCCACCCCTCTGTGTTACAGTGGAAGTAACTGTGGTTCAGAGGCCACAACTAGGTGAAGAATGTATACTTCGAGAATCTGTTTAGACTATGGTGTTCTTTCATGAAAAATCAATTTCTTGTATGTAAATGTTCTCCCCTATTTTTTGCTTATTTTCCTTGTGCATATGCTGGTAATATTTACTTAAAACTACAACAAAGAAGGTGACCTAATTTTACATTATTAAATCCTGGAGTACCAGAATTTCAGTCCTGATTAATAGCAATAAGGATAAATAGTAGCTGTTTGAGAGTCACCAAATGGTGACTCTTGTCTGCATAAAGTGAGTAAGGCCATTTAAAATGGCCACCGTTCTTTACAAGGAAGAAGAAGGAATAAAGAGGAAACAAATCAAAGGGAGAAAGTAAAATGGAAAATGACAATAATATTTCTTTAAAACTGTCTTGTCTTTCTGGTTTCTGTGAAACCTTTTTTTCTTTTTTTTCACTTTGCCTCTTGCTTTCCTGGCCTGATCTTTTTGGTGGGCCCTTGTCATCTTCTGTTACATATTCCTCATGCCTTCCAGGGTTCAGACCTCTGTGTTGTCTCTCAACACTTTTTCCTTGATCAACCTCATTTAGATAAGAACAAAATGTTTTTGTTTTCCTTTCCTATCATGATTACCAAGTAGGCATTTGGCTACATCAGTTAGGCCTGAGCAGTAAAGAATTCCTCATGACCTGTTATTGAATCATCCATTTTCTCTGTTTTTCAAGGGTCGTAAGAGTGAGGCTGAAAAGCTCTTCTTGAAGGCTATTGAGCTGGATCCCACCAAAGGCAACTGTTACATGCATTATGGTAAGTGGTTGATAGTTTTTTCCATGTCCTCCACATTTACGATATTAATGTTGATACAAGATCTAGGTTTTGCTGGTAAAGAACATTTTAAGAGGAGATGGACTTTGTTATTGCAGATTTAGCCCCATGTTATATTCCTACCTTCTCATTCAAAACAGTCCTATTACAAGGGCTGTGTGTTATACTTTCCTTTAGTAATTTTATTAGGACTTTAACAAGGATGGCATTGGACAGTTGTTTTTTCAAGTTCAGTGTGGAGTATAAATGAGATCTCATCAGGAAAGCATCTAGCTCCTTGCCTTATGCATAGCTTATAATAAAACATTTGCTTCTTTTTCATTCTAAATGATAATGTATTGCTCTTTGAGCATGTCATTTTGAAGTTTTAGAAGTTTACATTTTGGCTTCAAAAATCTTGCTTTCTGGAAGATATGGATGTACACCAGCCTATAAATGCCAAATATTGAGGCCAAGGATAAGCGGTAAAGTGTACAAAAAATGGCTGTCTCATTTCGTTTCGCCTTGGCCTTAATCAGTCTAGAATGAGGTTACATAACAACTCTGTCACACTCTGCTCTGTCATTAGTAGTGAGTCATGTGTTTAGTGAGGCGAAGTATATAGCTGGTTTGGTATTGTGTAAGATGTGCTTATTTCTACCAGATTTGCAGTTGGAATTTCTTTTAGCGAGCCAAAAAGCATTTACTTTTCCTGATCCCTTGTGGGGGAAAAGTGGCTTTTTGATCACTGTTGGCTTTGATGTATTAGTGACGATCAAGCGGTAAACTTAAAAGTGGACAGAAATTAAATATAAGGAACTAAAGCTAATGTATTAGTACAATATTTAATTCCTTTTCCCAGTCTCCAGCTGTAAAAATGAATCGGTGACAGACTGCAAGTGTAGAAGAATACAAAAAATGATGGAGATACTCAACCAACCACAAATTCATGTTTTGATTTATGTTATTGTGTGTCTATGTTTACAAACCTAGGATTGCAGCAGATTATCTTCCCAGCATTAATGCAGGATGGTACAAGTCCTGATTTTGTCTCATAATGTCATTGTAATGGCATGTTAAAATAGTAGTCAACTAATTTAGTTTGCAACAGATTTTATTTTTATTTTTATAGGTTTTCCTACTGAAGTGCTTCAGGATTTTCTCATGCCTAGTATTTTTGGGTGCCTCAGCTGTCCATGAAAGTAGTTTCATGGTGATTTTCTCTGAGTACTAAAGGGATGCCTGTCATTGCGTGTTATAAAATAGGAGATTTTTTCCCCTATTTGCTGCCTGCATTTCATTTGCCTCATACTAATTCTACTTACTTCATCTTCTAAGCTTAAGTATAATATTATGGAAAATATTATATATAGGTTTTTCATAATCAGTTTCATTAAACATTATCATTGCTCCATTTGAATTGCAATTTCATTATTTTATTAATTTTAAAAGTTGGCTCCCTTATTAATCTGGTTATGTCCATCTTCTATTTTATAAAAAAGTTATTATGACTTTTACATTACATTATGCTCCTAAAATATTATTCTCCAGTGGCAATACTAGTAGGTGTTTCTCCCTTAAGAAATTTTTGGATTTAGTTGAATAGAAAGATCTACAAACTTTTTTTTTTTTTTTTTTTTTTGAGATGGAGTTTTACTCTTGTTGTCCAGGCTGGAGTGCAATGGCAAGATCTCGGCTCACTGCAACGTCCACCTCCCAGGTTCAAACAATTCTCCTGCCTCAGCCTCCCGAGTAGCTGAGATTATAGGTGCCTGCCGCCAAGCCCAGCTAATTTTTATTTTTTTTATTATTAGTAGTAGTAGAGACAGGGTTTCACCATGTTGCCCATGCTGGTCTCAAACTCCTGATTTCATTTGATCCACCTGTGCCTCAGCCACCCAAAAAGCTGGGATTACAGGCATGAGCCACTGCGCCTGGCCTGCAAACTTTTTATTTTATATAGTATTTGGAAAGCAATGATAACAAATGCCTTTAAATGTATCTATAAAAACTGATTCTTCTTAGTACTTTTAAGTTTTTTTGACATACATACATTATGAGAGGTATTTTATTTTCTAAAGGAGGAATGATTATATAATTCAATATAATTTTATGAAATATGTTAGGTATTTTATGAAATTTTATAAGCTTCCATTTTTTTTTCCTACTTTGGAGTTGGTACTAGAACTCAAAATGAGGTAGTAGTTAGGGCAAAAAGGAATAGTAGTTAGGGCAAATCAATCTGCAAAAAGAGGGGAAGCCCATAATTGAGTGCATGATATTCTTTGCTCACTGTGCTCAGATTATAAACCATGCAAATTTTCATTTAGAGGGATCTATTTCAAAGGATTGAATTTAGAACTGGAACTGTAAAGTTCTTTTAAAATTATGTCATATAACCTGTGTGTTGAACAAATAAGTAGACTGAAGCCTAGAGAAATGAAATCGACTTGCTCAAGTTAATTACAGGTAAGTTTTGGATTCCTTGATTACTATTATGCTTTTTCTTCCATAAAATGTATTCTGTTTGGTTTGGTTTTTTTGTGGTTTTATTTTTGCGGTTTTTTTTTTTTTTTAATACTGGCAAAGAGAGAGGTAGGTAGATATTTTTGATCAGTAGGTCCTGCTTTACAGTTTTAGAACTCAAATTCATATGTCATCACTTAGCTTAAAGTTAAAAGAGAATGTTTTTTAGTAATTTTAATATTTATGCAGTGTGTCTACTAGGCCCAACTGTACTGTTCTGTTTTCAGAAAGTTAAGTCATGCTCTGTAGGACATAAACAGGATGATGTCATCTTTAGAAGATGATGCATTAGGAAGTTGGATACTCCTTGAGACAAGGTAGTCAGATAAAGCATCTTTGAGAATATGATATTTGAAATCTTTATGTTAATCCAACTATTAAAGAGCGCAGTTCATATAGAAGAAATAGAAAGTACAAAAGACCAAGACAATATCAAGCTTGTGTTTACAGCAGAGAAAAAAAAAAAAAGCTAATGTGACTGGAACACATTGAACCAGGTGGGAAAATGGGAGGAAAGGAGACCACAGAGGAATCAGAGGTGGAACCATAGGATCTTGGAGACTGAGCTAAGGAGTTTTGCATTTTATTCTAAGTGTACTGGAAGGGACCATGTGGAGAAGACAGGACTAGATAAAGGTCAGAATAGAACGAGGGAAACTGTAGATAGTTGTGATATTTTCATCAAGAGATGACTTGGAAGTAGTTGTGGGATGTAAATATTTATACTGAAATTATATGTTTACTTCCTTTAGAAGATTCTAACATAATTAAGAGTAGGGATGGTGTGTTTTCCATTCAGTATATCTACTATATTGCTGTTTACACAGTAATGCACAATGTTTATTGAGCTCAGTTAGGAAAATCCTCCATTCTAGAATCAGATCTGCATTACAAAATTGCCCAAAAGGATGGTCTATTTGAATTTTTATTTCTTGTTTAAGAAAATACATACTATGATTATCGTGTCAGTTCCTTGCCAACTTGCTGGTTATATATATTCTTAGATTGTTAGGCCAACAGATTGAATGAATAATAACACTTCCTTGGCTTAAAAATAAATATTTAAATGAAATATATGTGTTTTGAGTCTTTTTAAAATGCTTTTGCAAATGCCAATGAAAATGCCAGAGTGAGTGAGTTTTGTTGTGTGGGAAATCCACTCTCCTGTGTGATTTTGTGCTTCTGATTTGCTTGTTAATGATACAAGTATGTGGAAGATATCATCCAGTTGGGATTAGACAGAAGGAATTTTAGGAATTTGTGTTTGCTGCAATGGTGATTAGAAGACAATATTTTTAAATGCTATCAGTTACTTGTAGTTTTGTATCCACTAGTGTTGTTTGGGGGAAGGGATTGCACTGCAGATTGCCTTTTTTTTTTTTTTTTTTTTTTTTTTTTTTTTTCAGATTGGCTTACAAGAAAGAAAGTTAGGCAGGTTTATACAGTTGATTCAATCAGTTAGTTAAATGTTGTGCTGTGTGGTACCTATAGTTGCTGGGATTCAGATTTATCATCTGTAAAATGAAAGATTGACATGGACTCCAAAATGTTTTCCAGTACTGTAATTTCTTGTTGTCTGTAACATATACTCAATTTCTCACAGCTCTTTTGTCAAAATTATAAGGAATGCAATTGGTTTCAAACTGTGGCATTAGTAATAATATAATATTGTGTATTCGTATGTTGTCAAGTATTTCTGTGTTCATATGAAGCAAATGATGTAAAGTCTTTATTGAATTCAGTTTATAAATCTCAAAGGTGAGGGTTTGGTGTCTTGGTGTCTCATGTGGGTCTATAATTCAAGGAATTATCTGTGGATTCCCCTGTGCCCTCTAAAAGAATGAAGGTGAAGACAAGAAGTCTCTCTTTCAAAATTACTAGAAAAAACTTTTTCAGAGAGAATGCATTATAAATGTTTTCTGTAGGTACACAGTAGTAAATTTGGTCTCGATTGAAACAATTTAAATAAATGAATATTTGTTATAAGGTACTTATTGTATATAAATTCTGGGAGATGGGGAATTGATGAAATATTATGGACTGATATGTGAAAAGTTGAAAGGGAGCAGATTATAGTGCTATTGAAAAAAAGTACTCTTTTATGTACACCTTGGACAGTTTCTTCCTTTCCTGTTTTCCTTTTAACAGTGAGTTTCTAAAAACCTATGGCCCTGTTATATTTGTTATTGATACAGTGACATAGTTCATTTCCAATGGATCAGCTGTGTAGTGATGAGTCTTGAACCTCTTACTTTTAGCCTGCAGCTCAGTATATATTCAGCATTATACTAGATATAGGGACACAGTAGAGAATAAGACAGGCTGTAATGGATCTTACAAACTGGGAAGGAGGCACAAACTGTAAAAATAATAGTTTAATTAGTTTTAAAAAGAGTTATTCTATCATTTTTACTTGTGAGCTCATAGAAAAGTATAGATTTTTAAAAATTATAATTATCTGGATTATTATTATTTGG